GCGGACTCCGTAGTGTCTTTTATTTCGAATTCTGAGGGATATATAGAGTCAACATATGAATAAAAGTAACCTATGTAATTAAATTGATTTTTAAAAAAAAAAAAAAAAAAAAAAGGACGATGTATATTAATGTCGAGTTGAAGGCCTCAACAACAGTTTTTTTTTCTCATTTAGAAGTTTTTGAATAAATTCTGCTTGTTAGGAATATATAAACAAATCAGCTAATAATGTAGCACAATTAGTGCCCATCGCATTTCCAACAGATTGTTGAAAGATTTGGCCCCAAAGACTGCATAGATGTTATCAATGAGGATCTTTGGAATCCTTTTAATATCAATCTCAGAGTACTTGTGTGTAGAATGAAAATGATTTTTAACAAAGTAATTTTGCAAATGACCAATAACAAGGTATCTATGATATCAAAAAGCATAATTAACCGTGAGGAATAGTTTTTAAGTGTAGAAAAGTCAAATGTGTTGATGGTACTGAATTTTGTGATTTTAAAAATTTCTAAAAGTTCTGGGGTTTTGAGAATCCCCATATGATTTACACCACTTCTTTTATATGCTGTAGTACAGTATGTCTGAAGTTTATCCCTCAAAGTAGTTAATATTTTTGTGAGGATTGAAAATTGATCAACGATGATAAAATGATCAACGAAAGATTCTGTAATCAATTGAAAATGTATCGTACAATACTTATATAGGTGGTAGGAAGTTAAAAACTTGCATTCGTGCGAATTTGCATACTGGTGATATTCGGAAAACCTATTAAGTGAAATTATTTTTAAAAAAATTTGTGTGGAGGTTTTGATAATGAAAAGCATCATGTTTTAAGAAATTAAGCCGTAGAATTTCGATATCCAACAAATTTTCAAAGGTGGGGGAAAACTTTTGTGAAATATGAAAATAACGAACAGTATTCAAGCTCAAAAGTCCTTTGATACAATACAAAGTAGGAGCAGAGCAAACCTCACCTCAGTATTTCCATCGTCAACTTTCCTTATCTATATTATTATATTCCGCTATCACCTGCATTTGGTGTTTATGTTCCCCAACTTCGATACTCAAGTGCATGCTCTGATACGATCAATTTTCAAACCGAGGCAGGCTACTGACAGATAAGCTGATATTACAAGGATTTCAACAACATCGTTTTAAGTCGGCATTATGTAAATTCTATGGTGATTATAATGAGCTGTTTAGCAAATATATTCTATTATTAGGTTGTATTTTGACTGACATATTGCATATCAATTGTTATGTATCTTTTATACTAAATTTGACTACGGAATGTTCCGTCTACCTGATCAATACCTAAGGATCACGACAATTGTGACCGGTCGACAGGGGATGCTTACTCCTCTTAGACACCTGATCCCACCTCTGGAATTTCCAGAGTTCCATGTTTTATCCCCTGTTCACGGATTTGTATTGTTTGTAGGTCTTCTTTTTTTTTTAGATCGAGCACTGTTCGTTTTCTTCACCTTTTTCATTGTATATTTTTTTACAGAAATTGTATTTTGCAATAGTTTACAGTGGCTGTATATTTTTCTGAAGAAATTGTACTTCCCAATACTTTACAAAGGTTCTATGCTTTCCTTTTGTGCAGAAACTGTACTTCTGTGGAGAAATGTTGCGTTGGTTGCTACTAAAATATCATACAATATATGATTTTCATCAAAGTTTGTTTTCCTGATATACCTAATAAGTAAAACTTGATAGAATATCTGAGAGAGAAAACTATTTTTTGAATAAGCAATGGTGATATTTTACAAACACAAGTAAAAATCTGTATATAGTTCAAAATATATGTTAGTAGTAACATGGCCAAGTCATGTTCTCGAATCAAAGCTTTATTGTAATTTGATTTAAAACAAAAAACATATGTAGCTATATATCTTTGGTAACAAGTCTATGGGAATTTTAATGATTTTGATTAATGAGATTTCATGATGAACCAATGGACTGGGGTCGGAATTTTAATAAACTTGAATTTACATAACATGGGCTTTTACACATATGTCAATCAGACTTAATATTATTTGCTGTTCTTAAACAACGCTTCCCCCATACTGAATACAGCATTATTTATTGGAAAAATAACCCAAGTAAAAGACAAACGGGATGACTTCAGCTTTACCATCGTCAACTTCCCCCATTTATTTAATATTTCATTATCATCTGCATGTTGTTTATGTCTCTCAATTTATTCGATTTTCTTTATTTTTAATAACTATAAAATATATGTGTGTGATAGTGAAATATTCCAAAATATGAAAGGGACAACTGACACTGACGGGATAGTTGAATCAATCCTATTGTCATATAATTCAGTTGATAGTTGCTATTAACGTTTTTGGTCAGTTAAACATGAAACTGTTAAACAGATGATACACACTCCGTAGTGTCTTTCATTTCGAGATCACTGGGATATATCGAGTCGACATATGAATGAAACAACCAATATTAATTGACAGAACGTGGACGACATATCTAAATATCGATTGGAAGTCTTCGGCAAGACCTTATTTTTTCTCATGAAGAAGTTTTTGGATATTTTTTTAATAAGAAAAACAAGAGGTAGCATGTTTTGATATCAAAGTACATAAATTTGTGTAAAGAATCAGAGTGATTTTAACAAAGTAATATAGTAGAGGACCAATCACAAGATATGAAAATTTCAGGGTTCCAGCTTTATTGATGAAGCAGCTGTCTATAATGTCAGAAAGCCTAACCCTAAATATACAGTGAGAAATCATTGCATAAAGTGTATAAAAAGTCATACATTTTGTATTCTTAATTTGGGGGGGGGGGAGGGGGGATCTGTGATTTTAATTTTCTACAAGCTATTTGGAGTTTTTAGAATACAAATGATTTACACAATTTCTTGAATACGTAGCAAAGCAAATAATTTTTTTATAATAAAGATAGGGGCTTTGTAGAATATTTGCTGGACTCTGCAATCTAAAATTGTTTTATGGATTCTTACAAAGTTTTCGAATCTAGAATAGATACGGTAAATCAAAATTACTTCCGTTTTCTGGTATGTTAAAAGTATTTAAAACTGAACATGATATTGATGATTGTATTCTTTGAATAGTAACAGTGAGTATAAGATGAAATTCCAGACGTGGAATTAAAGTTCTTTTAAAATATAGTTTTAATAATTAGCATTAAAAAGCATTATAACAAGCCTTCAGCTGAAACCATAACTTTTCCTCGTGTCATCTTTATTATTTTCTTTTATCACTTCCAGTTTACTGAAAACGGAATTAAAGATGGTATGCATTTTCCTTCTAATTGTCTAATACAATTTTTTAACAAACTTCTTAAACATTTCATTGATTCTGAAAAAGTGTCTAGGTCTTCCCCTTCATATTTATTTCATGACTTATCATGGCCATGCTGTTCTTGAGAGGAAGGTTTTTGTTTGTATTATCCCTTTATAGTTTTCCCTCTTATTCTAGTCCTTTCCTACCCCAGGGGAGGGGCATGATCTGAAAATACTTGATTCTGGGCTGGCGGAAAAGGTTTGCATATTATCAAGACTATGTTTTGAAGGGGTTTTTTTTCCTGTACGTTTTTATTTGAAAAACACGTCAGTCAAAATCTGACCCAATGATTATACTCAAAGCAGGCTGTTGAGTATCGAATAGGTTTGGAGACGTAAACACAATATGCACGTGAAAGCGGAATACATGTTACTGCATAAACGATGGAAAAGCTGAAGTCATTTCGTTTGTTATACAAATCTGTTGTTAGTTGCGCTTATCGTCCATTGTAGTAAAACATCCAAATATGAAACAGATGTGGCAGATTCTTCGGTGTCTTTTATATCAAGTTCACTGGGATATATCGAGTAGACATATGAATTTAAGGAACTATTGTTAATTGATAAAACGTCGTCGATATATCTGAATGTCGAGTTGAAGGACACAGCAATTGTTTTCTTCTTCTCATGTAGAAGTTTCTAAATAAATTCTGCTTCATATGAATATAATAACAGGTCGGTTATAAATGAGCACAATTAATGCCAATCAGAATTCCAACAGCTTGTTGGAAGACCCGGTCTCCGAAGACTACAAAAATCTTGTCGCTAAGGAACTTAAGCATCCTTTTAATACCAACTTCAGAGTACTTTTGTGAAGAATCACCACAGAGTCTCACACATCTGTTTCATGTTTGGAAATTTTACTAGCAAAAGATGCTAATGCATGGTAATCTAACAACCAAGCTTTATGATAAACGTGATGAATCTAACTTTAAAATCATCAACTTCCCTTACTTATGCAGCAATATACCTTCATCACCTGCATATGGGGTTTATATCTCTCAGTTGATTCGATACGCAAGAGCATGCTCTACGTATGAACATTTTCTAAAACGATGTAAATTTTTAACAAACAAGTTGTTGAAACAAGAATATCAGCAGTCTCGTTTAAAGTCGTCATTTCGTATGTTCTATGGTCGATACAATGACCTTGTCAGCAAATACAATTTATCATTAAGTCAAATGCTGACTGACGTTTTTCATACTTAATGTTAGGTCATTATTTACACACTGGATTCTCGACGGTTTACCGTTATTTCCCGATCAGGACAAGGAGCACACGGCGGGTGTGACCGGTCGGCAGGTGATAAGTAAGTAAAGAATATATATATATATATATATATATATATATATATATATATATATATATATATATATATATATATATATATATATATATATATATTCCAAAATGTTAAAAATTAACGGTCGATGGAAAAAACTTCGATCAAAAGGCTCAATTGAGCCTTTGATTCAGGTGAGCTATATAAGTGTATAGGAGTTTTACTTTTATATCAAATAAAATCATTACAAATAAATAGTGAATAGACAGTAGAATGACCCTAAATTTAAGACAAGGATATCCTATTTCAAAGACAATGAAATTTTGTCAGAAATAAAATATATATAAATGTTTACAATTAACTAAAGTCATACTGTCTTTACTGCTATTCACAGAAGAAATGTCTTGTATCTGAACAAATTATATCGTCCAATCCTCCAACAGGACACCAGGCGTCTAGCTTCATGTCAAGTCCTACACAAGGAGAATCGCCATCCGGTTGGCCGGGGCACCAGTTTTGTGTAATAGGAGAACCTGATTTCCAGCTGTATGAGTTCTCTCTTTCTCTTCGTGCATATAAGTGAATCCAGACTAAATTTTGAATAGATGAGAAAACCAATAATCCCAATAATCTAAAGAAGTCTTTTGCGATGCTATATTTTCAACAATGGAAAGTGTTTATGATTCTATAAATTAGAACGCTTGTAGATTTTCAAAATAACTTACAATATCCCATCATATTCATCAAATCTTTCACAAACTGGAATTTTGCTGGAGTCTCCATGCTGATAAGAGTTTTAGACACTGATTGACAAGTAGTATTAGCGTCGTAATAGTTCAGAGTTGTCGGGGGAAGCCAGATGCACTTCTGAATTTCTGGGAACCATTCATCCAGTCCAGAAACACAATCTTAATTCAAATAAGTTTTTAGGTTAAGTAATCATTTCTACTATTCAAATTTAATTTTAAAGCAACCGCTTATAAACTGCATCTATAAGTCTAAGCAGCTATCACTTCTGCGAACAAAACATAAAATAACTAGAAATAGAAGTCGATAAGGGAAGAGTATATATATACAAAAACACGAAAACATGAAAGAGTCCAATACTCTTAACCAATCTTAAGAGTTTGATTAACAGCATTATAAGCGTGATTAACTTCATAAAAGTCGCCCGCGTGGCGCAGTGGTTAGAGCGTTTGCTCTAGAGTCGCGGAGTAAGGAGTTGATCCTTACGTCGCGGGTTCGAAACCCACTGTGGGACGTGGAGACCGGTCCTTCGGATGAGACCGTATAAACCGAGGTCCCGTGTCGCAGTAGGTGCTGGCACGAAAAAGATCCCTCACTGCTCAATGGCTCTGAGTGTCGAGTATAGGTCAAAATTTGCAGCTCTCCACCGACAAGTGGTGGCGTCTCCATATGAGTGAAAAATTCTCGCGAGGGACGTTAAACAACAATAAACAAACAAACAAATACAATAAAACCATGTATATTCACATTGTATGGGACTTATAGATTAACAAACCAGCAATAACTTTATTCTTAAACGATTTCTTTTTTGCTTGTTAGTTTCGCGTTACAGCAATTTACACTAATATTGATATAATGTATGGACTATATCTGTTTCATATATATCATATAATATTGTAAAGACCAAATTGTCTAATATAATTTTGTTACACTTGAAAGAAAAGACTATAGTTTACTCATTTTCAACTGAATAAAATCTGCTTTAGTGAACTAGACCGTGCGATTGTGTTTTACATGGATTTTTTTATGGGATAAGAACACAGTTTTTTACGTACGCTGTGGCATTAATTGAAAGAATTTGTTCCCTATACCGGATCCAGTGGCCCTGCAATTCTCTTGCTGGTAGAAGTTACACATTTCAGTAAGTCCATTATACTGGAATGTTCTACAACTTGATTTCTGTTGACATTTGACGGCACAGTTTATGAGACTAGAAACATGTATTGTATCCATGGCAAATTCAACAACATCTTGGTCTGTCAAACGAGGGATAATGGACCAGATATTCATGGTATTTGCATCTACAGAAAACAAACAAAGGAAAGTTTCCAGGAGCATATGTTATACTTCTTTTTTCAAAATCTTGATCAACAGTATTAATAATTTTTCCTTTTGCATAGTAAAGTTTACAATATCAATATAGAGATTTCTTTTATCATTCATTCATAAAAAAGCCTGACTTCTGATGTTGTCATTAAAACTTTAAAAAACACAGATATCAAGTCGTAGTATATTGTGTTTATATTATAAAACATATTGCCTGAAAACATTAAAAAAAACAGTTGCTGTTTTGCAAATATTTTTATTATTATGCAAAAAAAAAATAATATATTGAAAGTCGGGACATGTTTTTGAAACACTCTGTTTTATATCTTGATAACGATTATAATGATACCCAAACTTTTCCGACAAGTATATAACAGGCATACCCTAACAAAAAAATACTATAGTTAACTATAGTGATAACTTTGACACTATGAAAACTTTGATTTACTAAAGTGATAACTTTGACACTTTGATTTACTATAGTGATAACTTTGACACTTCGATTTACTAAAGTGATAACTATGAAAACTTTGATTAACTATTGTGAAAACTTTGATTTACTATAGTGATCACTATGAAAACTCTGATTAACTATTGTGAAAACTTTGATTTACTATAGTGATCACTTTGACACTTTGATTTACTATAGTTAACTATAGTAAACTATAGTTAACTATTGTTAACTATATTATTTTTTTTGTTAGGGTACATAAATGCAATGCGTCTTTCATTAGTTTGATACAAAAGCATACAATTAGAAATCCATTGCTTCTAAACGGCTTTGAATAGTATATATAAATTTAATTTACCTCAATGCCTATGAAAACCATACACAAAATGCAAAGTTTCTAAAAGTTTAGTATGATAATTATACACAAATTCAATGCTTCAAAAAGTCTATCAAAAGTATCACAGTCAAATTCAATGCTTCTAAAAGTCTATCAAGCATACTAAACGTCAATGCATTTAAAAGTCTATGACAGGTATACACATAAATTCAATGCTTCAAACTGGTCATGGTAGCCTAGTGGTAGGGCGTTCGTTTCGTTATTGGGAGGCACGGGTTCGATTCTCGTTCGCCGCGCCGCGTCAAACTTAAGACATAAACATAGGTAGTGACTGTTCTTTCGCCAAGCGCCCGGCATGAAAATTGAAGGTCACGGGTCTTTCGGATGAGTCCTTAAACACCGAAGTCCCGTGTCACGGTAGGCATTGGCACGATAAAGAACCCTCACTGTTCAATGGCCCCTAGTGCCGAGTATATGTCTAAATTTGAAGTCCATCACAGGCGTACGGTGACGTTTCTATTTGATTGAAAAATTTCTCGAATGGGACGTTAAACAACATACATGAAATATGTGTAGATAACGAACAGTATAGAAGCTCAAAAAAACCATTAAACATTACAAAATAGGAGCAGAGCAAACACGGACCTCTAAGACATCAGAGGTGGAATCAGGTGCCATGGAGGAGTGAGCATTCACTGTCGATCGGTCACACCCGCCGTGTGCTCAAGCAATCAATCAATGTTTCATCAGAAAACAGTGCGAAATATTCATATACACAATTAAAATGAAATACACATGTATATTAATTCCCTCGAGTTACTAAAATTAAAGCAATAAATTGAAAAATATCTTTAAAAGACATTTTTGTACTTACCTTTCAGATGTAAAGCCAGAATCAAAGATATAAAGCTCCAGTTTATTACTATCATTTCAATTTATGTTGTAGCTATCTTCTGAAATTGAAGTCGATAAATATCGATAAAAAAAACAACTTATTTTACCCAAAAAAAGTGTTACTATGTCCGAGAAATTTTCTTCTTCTTTTACTAATTAACAGATCAGGCCTTACAAAATTAATAACCGAATGCCAATAATGTTCATTGTCTTTCACATCATTTTTATTTTTAATTCATTTTGTTTTGATGAAAAGCAAAGTTTTCTCAAAGCTGGTTACAGTTTTTTTCCCTTCTAATTACAGTTTCTTTATTAACGTTTTCGATTTTTGACCGGAATATAAATTTTATCCTCCTTGTACAAGTAAAAATCAATATCAAAATGGATAGTTATTAGAGAAGAATCAATGAATTCTCCTTTGATACTAATCAGTAATTAAAATAAGTATTGAGAAAAAAACAGCCGTGCAAATATGCATGTAAACATTCCAATAGTAAAGAGTTAATTAAAAAACATAAAGTATTTACTTGACCATTATATCCTTGGCTTTTAGTTACATTCACAGCATCTTTAGGATTTAAATAGAACACCCAGGGGTAACACAAACCTTTGGACAAGTGCTAATGTACCTAGGATGTGTTCCCAGGTCAGGCTGGCACATTGTTGAATTATAACTTTGTTATCTAAGTTCTATTTCTTCATTTAAACCGTAATTTTAAGAGAACGTAACTTTTCGCTGTAGAGTCCTTTATATTCCAAAAACTATAAATATTTTTTTTTATGTTTACAGCATAATTATTTCACGTCTATAAAATGAGATAGTTCATGCACCAATAGCCTACACTATGCTACAAAAACGCATCTATTATTCATGCAAGTTTAAAACACGAATTTAATCACCAATTTTGTTCCTATGACATCTTGCAGAATGTTCAAATTTTTGAAGAAAAAAAACATATTTATAAAATTATTAATTCAAACATTTAAACACTAAAATAAATAAAAATGCTGAATACATCATTTCCAAAAATATATGAACAGCCATTGTTAATCACAGTTTTTATGCTGATGTCGATAGAGGGAGCCACAATTACGTATCAGTCTATTTGCCCCCCCCCCTCCCCCCTTATGACACCCAACTGGTAGACAGGTCTCTTCTCAGTAGTATTGTATACTATAATAAAAAATTTCATACAATTTTTAGAACGATTTTCAAAAATCATGCTCTCAGTATTTACATTTAGATACCGTAATACTAAAGAGTAGAGTAAAATTGATTTCTTTACATGATCGTATATGTTGTATTCAGTTTCACTTAAAGAGTTTAATCTACTCGTACATGACATTTTATGTTTATATATTCTATATGCTACCTAAGTAATCAGTAAATTTAAAGATTAAGTTTGATCATTTTATTTTTTATGGAACAAAAAGAAGCAACGTGTTTCCTTTGTATTTCGAATGAAAAAAAAAAGCTGCTTCTTTATTATTCCATAAGACACATTACCACATTCAAAAATCAGATGTTTCACATGTTCTATTTTCTTACAATGTACACACATACAAGATACGTACCTAATAACAAAAGCATTGTTACAAAGTATATTATTCAATAACTTGTAGCAGAATTGTACTTGTTTATCGTTCATATCTTTAATCTTACACTCATAAGTACATGTATTTCTCCAATTTGAATCCTTATATATTCCAACTCTTTTTTATAGATAATATTGCTTGAAAATAGGGTCTACAAAACTTTTTTCCAATAAGGTTTGTGCAGAAAAAAATAATTGTTATAATTTCCTAAAGGGAAATTGAAATTCATGACGATTTTTATTTTCATATCTTAAATTTGAAAGTTCGTATATTCTATGAATATAAATCATATACGGTACCAATTTTGATGCACCAGATGCGCATTTCGACAAATTGTGTCTCTTCAGTAATGCTCAAGCCGAGACGATGGAAATACAAAATATTTAAATAAAAAAGACTTGGAAGAGCTGAAAGAAGGTGCCAAAGACCAGAGCCAAATATACTTAGTGGTCGAGAGAAGAATCTTGTACTCACATAGCCAATTAGATTTGTCAGTTATATTGGGAAAATTGTCAAGTTGTCTAAAGTAGCATCAAACAAATCACATATGTACAAGATTCCAGATTTAATCCAATTACATAAGAAGATAGGTTTTCCTTTGTAGATTAAATTAAAATTATTCCAAATTGGCTGTTGCAAAATATCATCAGACGATCTTTCCTGAAAACTTAACTTAACAGTTTTACATTCGTTAAAACAACTTAAGTCTTTCTTTGCAAAATGGTGGCAAATGTATGCTTTTTAAACTTTCCATGTCCATTGTTGAACATTTTAAAAGAAAGGAGATACCAATTTTAAGGGTTTTTTGTACAAAATTTTTAAAATGTCGAGCAAGATACCTTTTGAATTAATCAATCATGGGATCCACGCTATTTTGATTTTAATTTACATTCTACATGTACATCGACTATAGATAGTTCACCTCGTGATATGTCACGGATCAATGTGTTCCGTTTAATTCTTGCTGTTTCCGCAAATAAAATTAAAAATTAATCTTTGTATTTTTTAACATAATTATTATCGGGAAGACATAAAATTGACGATGCATATATTAACTTAGAAATAGCAAGCGTTCGGATAATGCAAGGTTTATCAAACATAGTTATTAGTCCCCTACCAGTGAAACCGGAAGGGACTATAGGTTTTCTCTGAGTCTGTCCGTCCGTCCGTCTGTCTGTCTGTCTGTCTGTCTGTCTGTCCCTCTGTCTGTCTGTCAGTCTGTCCCACTTGGTTTTCCGTACTTTTTTCTAAACGCTTGCAGATATTAAGCTTATTTTTGGTACGTGTATGTATCTTGATGAGTTACAGACCAAGTTTGCATTTCGTTCCGCTTCAATGATTTTTGACGGAATTATGACCTTTTCAATTTTTCAGGGTTTTCCTCAATTTTTTTCTAAACGCTTGCAGATATTGAGCTGATTTTTGGTATGTGACTTTACCTTGATAAGTTATAGATCAAGTTTGCATTTCGTTCCACTTCATTGATTTTTGACGGAATTATGGCATTTTCAATTTTTAACGGGAACCAGATTACACTTGCCGGTAGGGGACTAGTATTGCTAATGCAATACTCTCAGAATGCTTGTTTTTTCTTCGTTTCCAAGACTCAATTTTTTTTCTATTTCATGTTAGATTCTCATCCAGTATTTTTTATTGTAGCATTCCTCTTTATCATGACCTAAATAA